TCAAATCAATCAGATATTAGAACATTGGGGATTGCATTCACTCATTCAAATGATTTCTTCACAAAATCTTAACTGCCTCATCAATGGAAGCCTCTCTTTCCCCCTGGCCTAAAAGATTGCATTGGTTTTTAATGCTGTATACGTGTGTATCTGGGCTACTAGAGTCACTAAGAAACACTTGAAAGATTTCAAGAATGTCAATATACTTGGAATTATCGATCAAGTCAGCCAGGAAGGTGGGGATGTGTGTAATGCCTGTGACATCTCCGAGACACCTCCCCTATAAAAAGCAAGCACCCCACGCCCAATGGTTAAACAGGAAAAGATGGAAGAAGTCACTAACAATTCGATCAGTCAGTGCGATGCCGAACAGATTCGACTCAAAAGACTCGCCAAACTACAATCAACGCAGTCAGGGTTATCCTCATCCACGCCCAAGTCTCCAACGCAGGAAACTGTATGTCCCCTGCCCTAACACATATAATTTGGCAATCAACCGATCAATTCATTCGTTATATTCCACAAAAACAGCCTCAAACGCGCGCTTCCTCGTCCTCCCATGTCGCCAGGTCATTAGCCTCAAAACTACCTGAGAAGCAAATAGCGCCACGAGTTGCCACCTCACAAACTCCTCTTAGTTCCACTTTAAAACCATCCGCATTGAGTCCGGAAGAACTAAGTGAATGGGAACACGCCATGTTGACAAGAATCTTCAAAACAACCTTAGATGTTGAGCTTTTCCCTGACCGGTTCTCAACACACCATAGAAAAGAAAAATAACATTCACTCATGAGGCTTCTATGCTGGTCTGGGGTTGTTTTAGAAAGAAGCTTTTGTCAAGTCTCAGTCGACGTTAATCTACTTGGATGGATTTAAAAATGAACTCGAGGAGGAAGAGCCTGGTACGAACTGAACATCATCGCTTCTGACCACTTCAACAAACTGATTAACCTCATCCATCATGCGTAACCTCCTAGGTTCATCCAAGCTGCTTACAGCTGATCTTGCCGATCGACTATTGATTGCTCGCTTATGGTTAAGACCATCCGACATATCTCCTACCGAACCAGCCCTGGAGGTCATGCAAGCCCAATTGCAGAATGAAAACGTGATTAACTATCTCATTGCAAGTTGGATTCGTGCCTTAGAAGAACGCTCTAAAGCCCTGGCTAGCAAGTCATCCTCCGCAGAGAAGGTTCGGTTGATTGAGAAGGTCAAAGAATCGTTTGTCAGCTGGATCGGTATATTCACTCAAGAGCCATCCCTGATACCCGACTGTGACAATGCGAAATCCGGAACAGACGTCTTAGTCAATCTGCTCATCAACCCTACTCCAGCTGATCCTTTAATCCCACATAAGTGGACCCTAATCCATGATCTTGCCAACCGCTTCGATAATGATGGATTGGAGCAAGTCATCGGACCCAGTCTGGTCCAAATTGCAATGGACCCCAACCTCTTGACCTCGAATTGGCACATAGGTGGCCACGAATGGCGAGCTCCTGTTCGAACCGTTGAAGACTTGGTGGAAGTCAAGCCAATTGCACGTATGATACCTAATCTTCCAGCTTGGATGCCGATCGCCAACTCAAATGATAACGGAAGGAGGATTGAGTTCTTTTGGCTACTTGGTCCCATCATGTCATTATCTACTTTTCCCGATCGAGTGGTAATTTCCTTTCTCTGACCAGCTCACTCATCGTAATTTCTAAACAAAATTTTGATTTCGATTTTTATTCCTGGGTTATTTATTCACAGCCAATTATTGCATCCGAGTACTTCAGTAACCCAAAAGAAAGGCCTCATGCAGATCTTGAATCAGCTTCGAAAGGCCTGCAAGCAACTCTAAATTCGTTGCAGGTTCGGCTTTTCTTCAATCAACATTTCTGGCACCGTTTTTTTGCTAATCTGTCACTATTTTTCAGTTGAGTTTGTTTAATATCTTTGATCGGATCGTGCGGTCTGGACCATCCCCCCGGGAGGCGGTCCTCACTTTATGGGCACAGATCATACAGTTCAACAACAAGAGAGCCGCTATACAGGTCGATAGAAAGATTGTGGCCTCAGATGGAATAATAGTCAATACACAGGCTGTCTTGTTACAATTCGCCGCACCTTTTTTAGACTCACAATACAGCAAGGTTTGCTTTTGTAGCTTACCAAGTTTGGGTCCCTTTTGATTCACCAATTTCTTCCCAGATCATCCTTTTGCTGATTTTTTATTTTTTCATTTTTTTGGTGGGGGATTCACCTTTGCAATATATTCAGATTGACAAAGTTGACGCTTTATACTTCAAACGATCGACTCGACTGAACATTCGAGAAGAGACGAAAATTAACGCGACATTACAAGAATATGAAGAATTTATGGGGTCCTCCTCCACCAATCCGGAGCCGGTCAATTTTATCAGTGAAATATTCTTTCTTAATGTCGCTATTTTCCGTCTAGGTATCTTGACTATCGCCAAGAATTGGAACACGAAAGCTAGAGATATTGAAGATATGAAAAAAGAGCTGGTTCGTGCGGAAGCCGATCGACGCTGGGATGGGACACCTCATGAAGCTACCCGGAAAGCTAGTTTGGAAAAATTCAAGGTGTTGTCCAAATATTGCGCACAAAATTATACTAAGACAGACATGGGCGGGCCACTGATTAAGATCGATTAATCTCTCATGCTTTGACACTCCATACGAAACAGCAAGAAATCTCAAAGCTGGAATCTCAACTGGTGGCCTACGAGGTTCAAATGTGCGATCCGGAATTTTTAAGTAAATGTAATAGCTTTTGCAGCTTCGTGATGACTTGGTGTATCAAGATGGTAGATCCTCTCCACCAACACCCACGTGTTCCAATCAAGTTAGTAGATCACTTTCCATCTTCATCTCACGTTGTTGACATGGATTTGCCGCGACCATACTTATAAATATGACCTAGATTGCCCCTCGCAAATGAGTGCCCATTAGGGTTTCGAATGTTACCCGAATATGTGTTGGAAGATGTCATCGAGTTTTACTCGTTTATTTCCCGACATTCACCCGGAACACTTCTTCAATCAGCCGTGGTGATCGATGAACTCTTGACCTTCACCCTAGTCTTCCTCACCACACCTTACCTCAAAAACTACCACCTAAAATCCAAATTCATCGAGATTCTCTACTTCAACACCTTGCCTATTCCAAACAGGAAGAACGGCATTCTGGGTGATGTGTTGGTTTACCACCCCCTTGCTTTAGCTCATCTTATGCCTGCTTTGATGCAAATTTACGTGGGTAAGTCAGGTCGTATCATTGCACTGAAAATTATCACACATCTGATTTTCTTTTCTGTTTTGTTACAGAGGTGGAGATCACGGGTAGCCATACTCAATTTTATGATAAATGTCAGTCATCTCTCTTCCATTGATTTGTTGATCTACTTACATTGTTATATCCGGCCTTCAGTTTACTCTCGCAGATGTAAGTCATTTCGTTTGCGTCTCCGTTCTAGGTAACTAAAGATACCCCTCCTTGACATTCTATATCGTGTTTGGTCAGATGTTGCGTTGATACTCAGGAAAGTCTGGGACAATCAAACACACCGAGCAGCTCTGAAAAAGGAGTCTTTGACGGAGTCCTTCATCCGATTTGCGAATTTGCTAATGAACGATGTGACGTACCTTTTGGACGATACCCTTGGGCAACTTCAAGAAGTTCATCGGATCGAAAGTTTGATGGCCGATCAAGAGGCCTGGCAAAGCCTCCCAGAAGCGGAACGCAAGGAGGAAGAAGGCAAGTTGTTGGCCTGCGAACGGCACTGTCCAAGCTTCTTGAGTCTTGCAAACGAAAATGTTAGCATGCTCAAGATCTTTACAGAAGAGACGCCAAACGCGTTCTTGAAATCAGAGATTGTGGTTCGATTGGCTGCCATGTTGGACTACAATCTCAACACATTGGCCGGACCTAAATGTCAAACGCTGAAGGTTAAAGACCCCAAGAAATATAACTTCCAACCCAAAGTCTTGTTATCAGATCTATTACAAGTTTACTTGAATCTATGGGATCGAACCCCGTTTCATGAGGCGATCGCTAACGACGGACGGAGTTATACCAAAGAATTATTCGAAAGGGCTGATCGGATCGCCAGGAAAGCGAATTTGAAATCGTCCGATGAGCTTCAAAAATTGGCCAAGTTAGTGGACAAGGTCGAAGAGTTGAGGCAATTGGAAGCGGATGAAGAGCTAGAGCTTGGAGAAATTCCAGATGAATTCTTAGGTTGGTTCCCATCATCATTCTATCCCTCCCTTATGAATCACTCAATATTTCTTTTCTATCGCTTTTTTCTTCCTAGATCCTTTGATGGCAACCTTAATGAAAGACCCGGTAATCTTACCGACATCAAAAACGACAGTGGATCTGTCCACGATCAAGCAGCATTTCCTGAGCGATGCGACAGACCCTTTCAATCGAATGCCATTGAAGATTGAAGAAGTGGTCCCTGGTCCGTCTTCCTCCTTCCCACCCAGCTTCTCTGATGGTATTCTTGAACTTGTCTGACAAGCTGTGCAATAATCCCCCCGCTCCATCATTTGCTCTTTTTTATCCCTGGTTAGATCTGGCACTCAAAGAGAAAATTGAGGCCTGGGTCAAAGAGAAAAAAAGTTCTAAAATGGAGTTCTAAATCTTCTCTATCTGTAAATATAGTGCGCGACATCTCACATGGTAGTATATGTAGGGAGTTTTAAGTCAGACAGACAGACGAATATTTCAATTCCTTATGCTTCTCTCTATTCATCAATCGACGCGGTCTTATGATTATTATTGTGTGTTTGTTTGTCTGGGGTTTTCTCGTCTTTGTTTCTTTCTCTGTTTGATCAACAGCCGTCATACTTCTCCCAAGCTCCTTAACATGCAAAAGACTGATGTGTTATAGCCATCGGGAGGCTGTCGCTTCATGCAATTGAATTAGGGTAATCTCGACTTTGTTGACTGTATATATTGTTTGAATTTGCAAGTGAGAGCCCTCCGAATTAGTATATCGGCTAGTATAACCGCCTCTCATCATGTGGCCCGCGGTAGAGACGGGTTCGATTCCCGTATTCGGAAGGAGCGAAGCTGTTTTTGAACAGCTGCCTGGCTATAATCGGATGACCTACTTTTCCCGTGGTGGCCAGCTTGATTGTATCTCTTGGCTAACAGAGCTCACACCTAATTGGAAAAAGAAAACTAGCTGGGGGTTGTGAATCATTCAAATGGTGAAGAGGGGAGTAGAATGTTGTATCAATGTCACCAAGGCAAGTCAACATGGTGCTATTTGTGTGCAAATTAATCACTATTGTTAATATTATCATTGTTAATATTATCATTGTTAATATTATTATTATTATCAGTGGGTTGGTTAAGCCCCTGTAATTTGGTTGAGTAGCCCCTAAAGTCACTCACCCACTTTGGGGTTTCCCTGAGTCCTTCATTGATACGAAGAATGTTGTGATCCCTGATCTGACTTTTGCAGGGTGTCCAACCAATTTTTCTTTTACAAAAATGGGGGTTGCTGCCCTGATTTCAAACAACAGGGGGTTGGCAGACCAATTCTTCCAAACAAAAAAAGGGGTCTCTACAGTTTGAGAAAATTCTTTTTCATTTTCTTTTACCAGCTAAGCTCTTTTTTTCATTCACTTTTTTCTTGAAATATGATTTTTTTTCAGTGAATATTCAAAGCTCATGTATTTTGAAGGAAGAATAACAAGAAAGGTAATTCAAGCCTAGGGAAGGGGTGTTCTGAAGTTAAAATTGGTCCCAAAATCCCCAGGTTTTGTGGGATTTTTTGAAAAGAATATTTTTCTGTGAACCGTAAAATTGGGAGTGGAGGTTGGGTTATCCTTAATATCAGTTAAGGATATCAGCATGACACAAAGAGTGGTTAAGTGAATTTTTGGGTTTGCTTAACCAAACCCCTATCATTATTTTTGTAAAGAATTTGGATTGATGAATTTATTGCCTGAAAGAAGCCAACACACTGACAAAGAAATGAATCAGAAAAGATAAGGGAGATAACAGATGACAAAGGAGAGTGTTAGAGTAAGATATAACCAACAGTTTGATGCAAGAGGACATGAATGATAGGGCTAGAGAAGAAAAGAGTAGCAGAATAAAGACAGAGATAAAATAGACTTAGAAGACAAAGTTAGTTGAGTTGAAGTAGTCAAGAGTGGTAGGTAAAATCTCACCAGGCAGATAGTTGACTTGAGAAGAGCAGAGTGAGAAGTGAGTGAAGAGTTTTGATTGACAGTGAGAGAGTTTAATGAGAATAAAAGAGATGTAGATTAATTTGATGAATGAATTGGATCATGTGATTTGAAGTTAAGGTGAAAGATGAGATTTGATAAGGTTTTTATCTTTAGTCAGAATGAAGGTTGATGAAAAGAGTTTTCAGAAAGAGGAAGAGAAACTTGTGAAATGTTGAAGTTCAGTGTGAAAGGAGAATTTACAGAGAGAAAATTGTACATATTGTTTAGCTTATCTCTCAATTGAGCTACACTACACTGCGCTACACACGCTAACACAAGCTAACAACTAGACTAACACACAACTAACATTAGACTAACCATTCATA